CCACAGATGAAACTGTGTAAGTCTTTCACAGTTGGTAAATAACACAAAACAGTTGATCTTGGCTTTCACACAAAAATCCATGCAACCAATCATTTGTAATAGCGTCCTGGCCTTTTTTTTTTTTGTAATGGCGCGTGAGCATCAGTGTGCGTGCATCGCAATCATCTCTTCAGTAAAGAATAAGGATGTTAAAACATCCTGTACGTTCACATAATTGTGCCCCGGTGCTCTCGCTGTGTAGGTGTATTGTCACTATCTATCAGTTTTGCTATTCCCTTTATCACCAGGTGAAGGTTGCCAGACATACTGTTGTAGCAAACGTAAAGACGGAGAGACAACAGATGGAGCAGTTCACAGACACAGGATCTTGTCATGGTGGTGATTGATAAAGGTGTGACGAGAGACTCGACTGGGAGACAGGGGAAGGGTTATTTAAAGCATAGGCTGCACTTTGATATGAATGGCTTATTGACTTAGCGAAGTGCATCTCCAGCTGTCAGCGTGACTTACAAGTAATTAAAAAAAGGGCGAGCGTGCGAGTAAACCGAGCTGTGGCTACTGTTTGCAGGGCTCACATCTTTTGCAAAAAGCATGTGCGACAGGGAGACATCAGGTTTGGCATAAAAGGGATAGACAGGCTTATGGTGCTGTTCTGACTCAGTCTGGGAATAACCACAAGCTGGGAATAGCAGGGTGGCAGCAGTGTGTGGGTTGGTGTGAACAGTCTGCAAGCATGTGTGTGTGTTTTTTATTTTGCATGTCTGTGTGTGTCAGAGAGACAGAAAAACACAATATTTAAAGGAGGCTGATGTGGTTGGTTAATGTGTATCATGTAAACTTACTGATCTACAGAAGTGAAACTGCAATGCTGAAGGTGTCTTTGCAGAACCTAAAAGCCATAGTAAGAAACATTTGTCTTGTGTTATCAGATGCCCCTTCAGACCAGTCGAACTGTCATTTTACCCAAGAAAAATGTTGTTGTTTTCCTGCTCCTTCTGCTCATATCGCAATCTAATCACAGCTCGCTCAGCTCATCCTGTATGGTCCAGGTGGCCTCACTCTGAGAGCTAATAGAGGGGGTTTTAGCATTAATAAATGTCCTTAACCAGGCTGATGTGACACAGACCAGATTACACAATGGCCTCTTTACGTCCAGTCGTACTCTTGTAAGTAAACAAATGCATAAATCTACCGGTTGCACTTATATGTGTGTCCTGCCTGTTTCCTGTTGAGACTCTGATCAGAGAATCCAAGAGCTGCCTTGTCCTTGACAGCGTCTGTAAATGTGGGAATAAAACGAGTAAGCTGCACTTTGTGAAAAAAGCTGGATAAGCCCGCTTGGTGCATACACAGAGTGGATTTGACTGGAAATCTTTCATTTTCTCAAACCAAAACAGCGTTTCTTAAAATACTACAAGCTGCTCTACATGGTGCAAGACAGATTAGATCATGACTTGAATGTGACAGCGATTTTTTTCTCCTCTTTTATGAGCCTTGTGATTGGTGGTTCAGGAGGAAAATAGCTCTCAGCTTGTTGAAGGCTATGGGCTTTCCACTGAGCCCCTTTTGGATGCCATGTTTTTTATGTGGGCTGCCCAGCAGCCTGTGCTGAACGGTGGAAACAGCTAAGCCATCTGTTACACTCTATTTTCATCAGTCTGCCTACCAGCGGGGGAGTGCCACGGCCCAAAGGGACTTTCAGCTACTCTCACAGACTCCTATTTGTTCAACAGGTCAAGTTTAAGCCTTGCAGCGAGGGACCACCAAGCCAGATCTCATTTTATTACACAGTCCAGGTGATTATAAAACCCACACGTTGCTTGACTGGGCAGAGCTGGTGATAAAAGGGACTATACTAATACCAAAAAAAGCAATCAGGTGCCTCAGAGAATTAGAAGAGATTATTACTGTCACAGTTGTTAAGTGACCATAGCCCGGTGTGTCCTCAAATTCATTTAAAGCCAGGTTAAAAGGATCATCTTGTGAATTGAACTTTGTTCGTCTAATGTATTTCTTGGGATGAGAAAAGACAAATTTGAGCTTTGCAGGTGAGGATGAAACAGAGGCTGGCAGGATTCATTTGAGATTACTTGGCACAAACATGGTGTAATCCCCTTATCTGCGTACTTACCTGTCCCTGACAGTGATCCAAGCCTACCTCTATGAGCCTCATTGGCCTGACATTCTGGCAGTAGAAAAATCCCTGTCTAATGTGTCAGCCCAGGCAGCTTTAACACCTGGCACGCCAGTGCTTATCTGCTGAGCACCCAAAAGCACCTGCATTATCCTACTGAAGCTTCACAACAAGTGAAAAAGGCCTCTAATATCCACACAGTGAAATTACTGCGTCAGACACACAGCGTGCAAAGTACGCGCCATTATGAGGGGCTAATAACCTGATGAAAAATACACATACAACATGAGATACACCTCATGATTTTCAGCACCCTGTCTTCCGGTGGTCGACACTGAGAGGGTTTCAAAACTGATGAAACAAAGAATAGTGTTGTTTCTTCAACTCATACTCAAGGGAGTTTCATTAAAACTCTGCACTTAAGCTTTTGAGCTATACTGATGATCAAATATGGCCAAGAATTAAGTCTTTATCCCCAAACCTGTGCTTTGTAGAGGGAATTTTGTGCATTAGTTTTGTCACGTAAATGGACTTAAAGTATTAAAACTGAAAAGTACTCAATACAGTGCATCCCTTGTGAGTGTTAGTATCACATATTATATAATTTGATCATTGTTACTCATGCATTAATTTAAAAGAAGGATTTAAACCAGCGGCAGGTTGAGTTGGTGCTTATTTTGAACTCTAACACTGCTAACAACAGTGCAGTTTACGTATTTAGAACTTTCTCAGGGATATAAATATTCAAAGCCCCATGCTTCCAGAGATGACAGTCTAAAATAGTCTCTGGATCAGTGGAAAATTAATGGCCCTTCTGCAAATATGGAATTTGTTTAAAGCAATATGAAAGGCAATCCATTACACACTCACATATCTATACTTAAAAAAACACAAGCGTGGTGATGGTGGTGGGGAGGTGTTTAATCAATTTCCGGTCTGATCATTTTTCATTCCTTGCGCTTAGTTTTACCGAGGATCACCAGGGAGTGCGTCGTTTCAACAGGAATTGGAAAAGTGAAATTAGAAATTACTTTACCTTGAGTGCCCGACTTAGTTTTTATTTATTTATATATAACACTATAATGACTGCCAAATTTGTTCCCTCCCCCCATTTTAAATGGAACTTTTCGGCAGACGACGAGCAGGAGCAAGCAGGTGAGAAACACAGGTTCAGTGTGTTTGAGCGTGGGCCTTGAGCTTTGTTGAGCTTTGTTTAGCATTTATGTCTGCAGACTTCATTCACTTACGTAGTTGTTTTGCTCTTTCATCCCCTCGTGATAATGTTAAACGTATTTGGACGGTAATAAATAACCGTGTGATGGTCAGGTGGCGTCAGTCAGGCCAACACAAACTTAAATCTGCGGTCCACATGCGATTTCAACTAACCAGTAGTTAATAGACATAGCATCTGAAGCCTACGGTATTTTACATGTATTTTGGAATTAGGAGATACACGCAGGCCTTCCTGTGTATTTAATTATTTATTATTATTTATTCGTATTATTTTTTCAGTAATGTAGGCCTTCGCTGAAACCTAAGCAGGCGTATTCGTGCCTATACTGACATCTGGTGGTGTTTTATAATAACGTTGTTGAACCCACTGGACGTTTGAAGTGTTGACTGTCGAAGGAAGCTGCCAACCGTGGTAAAATGTTAATTTAAAAAACAAACAAAAAACAGCTATTTGGTGTGTTATTTGCGTGTAAGCATTTTCTGGGCAGCGTGAAGCTCTAAATGAAGGACAGGTTTTAATGCCGGGGCGGGGCTGAAACGACAGTGGAGGAATGATTGTCCCATGATGCACTGCGACTTGGTAACAATTTCTAAATACTTTTAAACAACCAATGGTGCATACTTCGGCAAACATCGACGGTGGACAAGTGAACGATTGTGATTGTGATCAAGGGACCGTAAAATTATAAAAACAAAAACATGAACGGTAGCACCATAACTAAGGATCGCATGCAGCGAAATGGCCCCTCTGCTTGTGTTGAGTGCAGGTTAGCTTTGCGCAGTGGCAGTATCGTAGCCTATGAGGTTTATCCGAGGCGCGATTATTGCTAGTTGAAAACTTTACCCAATACCCCGCCTTGACGA